ATTAGTGACGGTTGTTGTCGGGTGATTTAACGTTTCTTTTGCGCCACGCTGACGGCAACACGGCCGCGAGCCTCTCTCTCTCTCTCTCTCTTTCTCATCGCGCGAGCACAGGTGATTTATCACGTCGGGCAAAAGTAACGAAATAGCCGACCGATAATGTGTGAAAATAATAAGAGGATTACGGTTGTAATGATGCCGTAAGAGGGCGATTAAAAAGCGCAGTTCATAGCCTTGGCGCTTTGACGGGGGAGGGGGGGATGGGGGTGGAGAGGTTGAAATCGCGCAATTAAGGCTGAACTAATGATTCGGGGAGGTGGGTACGGGTTAAGTGGAATTATCTGGTGATTAGCGACGATTATTACGGGTGATTTAGCCCTCATCTTTATTTGAATAGACGAATCGCCCGCGTTAAAAGCGCATTACGCGTTCAATTAGACAGAGTGGAGTACGTAAATAAAGACCCTCTCTCTTTGAATGTAAATAACCGAATGTAAATAACCGAATGTAAATAACCGAAATAGATCTATCTGTTTGGATAATCAAAGATATGTGGTACAAGTGAGATAGTATCATTTACCGCATTGGCGAGTGAATAATGCTGACAAAAAAGAAAGAAAGAGTGGCAATTATCATGATTTGACAGTAATGTCTTTTCGAAATATATTTATTTGGTAGAGCTATAAATATAATAATAATAATTATTATTAAAATTATAGTATTATATTATAATACTATAAAAATGAGGTTTACAACCATAATTATTTTACCGTGCGATTATCACAATTGTGACAAGAGTTTGTCACAAATACCAAACACTCTTCTTCCAGTGAAAGACCGCGAGTTGAGTTCACGGCGAACTCAAAAGAAAACAATTCATCTTGCGCGGCTCGAGACGAGCACTTATGCAATTAAGATCGTGGTTTGAGTGTTGATACACAGTAGAAGACCCTATTGACAAGTGCGGCTTTTAAAAGGACTTTAACTGACTGGGATTAGATTGGATAAAGGATAATTCAATTTCTCCGATTAGACACCTCGCGGAAGTAACGCGATGTTAATACTCGGTCAACAGCGATTTGTCGCGTAGAAAGGTAATTGAAGTGGAAGCGAAGACGTTTATATCTCTGGCCACGATCATTAAAAGCGTTCACGGCTTTCTAACAAGTTTCTTTTCCTTTTTTTTTTGTAGGCGTCGTACGCAAGCCTCGTAGAGAGGGCCTCGACATTGAATTGCATTTGCATCTCTAATGAAATATGTACATATACGTAGGTATGCGTTTTAAGTGCGTGCGCAGAAATAAACCGGCGGATGGAGAAGCCGGCGGCATAATTCCCAGGAAAACCGCACGGCGGGTACGCCGGCGGTTAGTAACGATCGGCAAAGCTCGTTACCGGTGTTTAACTATCATTTAGGCAGGATTAAAGATAATCCAGTCGGTGTCGTTGGAGATATAGCGAAAGCGCGAGCTACCACTTACGGTCGTCGCGCTAACTCCCGATTAAGGTCGATTTATTACCCGAGCGAAGGGTGCCCTGCCCCCCTTCCCCCTCCACCCCGTTTAAAAGGGGGGAACGCGCGAACGGAGATAGGGGAAGGCCGCTAAATATACCTCCCCGGTAGGCTTATCGTGGGTAACCGTTATAACTCCCGGAAATAAGAGTTCCCCATTGAAGAATGGCTTATGCGAAGTAGCCTGTTATCTTTTTAAGTAAAAAATAGTTTTTTTTTAATAGAAAAAAAAATAGAAAACAAGCCATAAAGTAACTTGTTTATTTCTTCGGAAATAGACAAGATATAGTCTTTATTTCACAAGTGTAAGTCTAAAGAAGCTTGTGGCATGATTTTTAAAGAGAAAGCTGAGGGCGGGGGAAAAGGAGAGGGGGCGCGGCGACCGTAAAATAATATCGCGGAGCGACGCATGGATGCACAATTTGTCAAACCCGCGTTGCACGGGGATGCGGACTGCATACGAAGGAGCGCTTCACGATGTTCTGAGTATTCCTCAGAGGTGGCTGCGCGTACGCCGTATTAAATAATCATCTGTGTAAACATAGCGGAGTTATCGCGCGACGATGTAAGCCGCATTAAAGGAATTCCCGGGCCGCGGGAATAATCCTGCCTCACTTCATAAGTTCGTATTAACGCATGTTAAATCACGGCGTGTGTGTGTGTGTGTGAGACCGCGCGTATACAGTACGGCATGTGGCCGAGTCCCCGATGAATAACGTCCTTCGTGGCGCGCGCGGGTTAAGCAGCTTTCAAAAATACGCCAGCACCTTACAGCACCACGGCCGGCCTCGAGGCACCGTCGGAGGAGAGACTTTGTGCCGGCCGACGGCGATAATGTCGGAGGTGGTAGACTACGGGTAAGGTCAAAGGCGAGCACGGAGAACTTCCCCTTATACCTGGAAGGTTCAAAGCGGGAGGTCGGGCATTGTTAGTAGCGACTTATTGAGGGACAGAGAGAGAGAGAGAGAGAGAAAGAGAGAGAGAGCGAACCCCGGCGGCCAAGTCGCGTCGCCGCGGTGAATTATCCCATATCGACATTACGGTTCATTGTAATCGGCCGCGGGGTTATCGATTTTTCATTTATAACCTGGAGGGGGAGGAGGAAGAGGAGCTTCCCGCACGACATCACGAAGGCCAAAGCCGCGTATTTTTAGCGACCGCGTCCGCGCTCCCGGGAAGCGTGAAATTTGCGGAAACGCGAAAATACGTTCGTCCACGTAATAAAACAAAAATAGCGTCGCTCTTATACTGATTAATCCGCAAATTATTATCACCGCGAAAACTAAATTGTGAAAATATAACGGTATGCTGCGACAGAATTACGTTCCGCCTTTGGGCCGGAATAAGATTACTGCGAGATTACGTTATTAGTGAAAGACAGATTATTTTGCTGGATAGAGGAAGGGGAATTAGTTCGCTTTGAGCAACAATTTTTAATTTACTCGCATAATCCCCGACCTCCTATCAGTCCGCTTTTTCCCCGCGCTGGTCACGTAACTAACTGGCTTCCGACAAAGACTGCACCGCCCCGAGCAATAATGTTGAAGCCGCTCGGCTAAGTCAAAGGAATGTTCGAACCCGTAGGTGAAGAGAGCGGCTCGACTCGGAGCAGCGTGCTCGAGCCACTTTGACGAAGTTGTTCTTGAAAGTTCCAAAGAACGATGTTAACAATGAACAGCATAAATAAATTCTTTTGAAGTCGCGAAGAGTCCCATTCCGTCATTCAACAAATGATCGTTAAATGAGACAAAAGGATATCGATAAGTCGTCGACGGTGTAACCGGCGCAAAGTAAAGATTTTTCAGAGAAATACATAAAATTTAATTCCCTCGAAGGTAGAGTTGTTAAAACTGATGATTAATTGAATGTTCGCTGTTCACCGATCTATCATGAACCGAATCGCGATTTAAAAGGAGAGAGAGTTAATTAAACTACAATTAGAGCCAACTGCAGATGGCGGTGTGAAACCGCCCATTAGATAGTTAATATGAACTTTGTTTAATAACTTTACACACCCGGCTGCCGCGAAGTTATTTTCATTATATTGCATGCATGCAGTTTCTCTCGGTGACCAACTTGGTTTAAATATTGCTCTGTGTAGATATACATCTATAGGTATTATACTTTCTCTCTCTCTCTCTCTCTCTCTCTCTCTCTAATCTACAAGCTCTGTATCCATACTAGTTTCTGATATCTGGTCCATTCTATTTCAGAAGCCCCTATGGCTTACGCGCTCTATATAGCTTTTATGTGGGATGCGATCGAAATTGTGATACAATCCAGAAAGAAACGGAGAAAACTTATTGTACCTTATCTCTCGTCTGGTTTTTTTTTACCGCTTATTTTTACCGCGAGACATCTCCTCTTTTCCGACTGTACGCAATTTCGGGCTTTCCCTCGTATATACGATTCTTACGATAAAAGAATTTCTTGAATGTACAAAAAAAAAAAGAAAAAACGTTTCGCGTGCATCAATTTGAAATTTCACTCGTCTTATCTCGTGTTACAACCAGGCCGGGCTATAAACGAGACGTATCGTCAGGACGGTTGCGAGATGACTTTCGATAACCGACTAAAGTGTTCGACGTTGGATATCGATTGCAAACAGCAACCCCCCCGTGATGTATCGCGACATTGCGGACGATCGCACGCGCATAAAAGCGCATCTAGCATCCCGGATAAGAGGTACTTTTTAAGAGCGATACCTCACTCCGCGGATCCCGATACTCGACTCCGATATCCCGACGCTCCCTCGTCGCTTTTTCAGGGAAGACATTCTCGCGGTGTTCGTTATCGCGACTACATCTCGATCTCGCTCGCCATACCGGAAAATTAATTAGTCAAACGACGGCCGTTTCGCTGATAAATGATCCTCTTTTTTAAATCGATGAAGATCGGAACAAAAAACGTTCGCGCGCGATTTTGCCCGGATCTCTTCGGGCGATAATAAAGCCCGCAGTTGACGAACTCCGTTATTTCTCATCATTTCCCATCATTTTCGTGGCGAGGAGGGAAGGGGAGGGGAACATGCACTTGCGGGGATGAAAGCAAAGCGAATCGCGTAATTTATTTGCCATTTATCATCTAATGAATTAAGATCTCCGCGAGAACTGACGGGATATGCTCGGGGAACGGGCATTATTACTGCAATCGATCCGGCTATATTACTTCGCGTCAAACTCTCCTGCAACACTCCACGGTTTCTGGAAGTCGATTAATGTAATTTGGACGTAGCGATGATTAATGAATAATCATAATCGATCCTCTGTATGAATAATATATGTAGCGCTGTACGGTAGCGCCGAGTAATAAAACGGAACGGAGTTCGTTCAAACTCGATCAATTAAGCTAGATTAATTGATAACATGTAATAAATAAGCGAGTGCATTTCCGTATATCCTATCGACGTTTCTATCGATAAAGGTAATATTTGCCGTAGGAATTATTTCGCGCGCGTCTCAACGTCTGATATATGACCGTGAGGGCTCACCACGAGGAGGACACATCGATTTTCAGAAGTTACGCCGCCGCATCCGAGCCAGCTACCGATGACAGCCAGCACACCTGCGACGATCAGGGCGTAGGCCAAAGTGGGATACGTCGACGTGGACATCAGGGACACGTAGCTGTGCTTCGCCGCCACCGTCCAGATACCGATGCCACCCACCACCAGTCCGGACAGCTGCAACACACATGAGCGAGAAATCTTCAATTTAATTTCACGCAAGCGTCACGAAACGTCACGCTAAACGGGCACCCAGCCGCGACGTAACTTACGATTTACATGCGGCCTATTAATGTCACTCTTGATGTAAAGCGTGTCTGGTAATGCGCAACTGGTGCAAATAAGATTTTTCTTGGTGCGCCGGAATGAACATTTTTATCGTCGTCGATAGGGACCGAATTGATTTTTCATCTCCTCGGTCCTCCTTTTTCCTTCAGAAATGAATTCTCTAACATGACGAGAAATCCTCAATTTAATTTCACGCAAGCGCGAAACATCACGGTCGGGTTACATCCGCCGCGCCGTGATGTAACTTACGATTTACACGTGGCCTGTTAATGTCGTCGCTCTCTACATATCTATAATAAAGTATCTCGATAATGCGCAACTGTAGATGCAACTAATAAGATTTCTCTCGGTGCGTCGAAATGAAAATTTTTTTATCATCGCCAACAGAAGAGGTCGAATTGACTTCTCCCGTGTTCGAATACTTTTGCCTTAATTTTACAGCATCTCCTTGGACCCTCTCCTATTCCCTTCGCAGAAATGAATTCTCTAATATGACAAGAAGTCCTCAATTTAATTTCACGCAAGCGCGGTACGTTACGGCACATCTGCCGCGATGTAACTTTACACGTGGCCTGTTAACTTGTCGCTCTTTGATAATAAAGCGTATCTCGATAATGCGCAACTGGCGCAACTAAGATTTCCCTCGGTGCGCTGGAATGAAAATTTTTTATTATCGTCGAATTGACTTTTCCCGAACTTTGCCATTTACAGCATCTCTCCCCAGCCCTCTCTCTCCCTTTGCAGATACGAATTCTCTAACATGACGAAATGAGTTCTTTAAAAGTTGACGAAGTGAAACTAAATCTCATTGGTCTCTCTCTCTCTCTCTCTCTCTCTCTCTCTCTCTCTTAAATTTCTTCGGAAGGAACCCGAGACTGATTACACGCCGTCCGTCATCTCGGTTTGTCGTCGGCGTCTTCGAAAATCTCTAAGATAATCCGATACCACCGATCGTCGGGACGAATACATATAGTTAACGGGAAGCGAGAGCCGTCGTTCATGTCCGTGGAGAACTTCCGATAGGGATCGCGGCCCACGGACACATAGTGCGTTTCATTCAATTTTCATATCGTGCCCGCACCGCGGGCGCAAAGTCGCTTCGATGACTGCTCGGGTATCGTCGCCGCCCACGACAGCTGGCACAGAAGAGAGGGACGGAGAAGGAGAATGAATAACGGATATCGGCCTCCGATAACTACACGCACCAATGCGTGTGTAGGCACTGCGTATACGGGGTGTCCCGTTAATTGGCGCCGCGAGCGGAAAGTGAAACGAGCCTCCCGCTCTCTATATCGCCGAGTAACACGTCCGAGTTTGTCCTCTCCTCTCCTCTCATCCCCGTCTACCGACGTTGAAAATTTTAATTTGGGATCGAAATCTCCGACAGATAAGAGACAGTTTAAAAATCACTCCAAAGTTAACCGTCGCTCGCAGCTTCACGCTCAATCTAGAGAGAGAGAGAGAGAGAGAGAGAGAGAAAATAAAGAGTCAAAAGTATTACACCGTGGAGCGTACTTAAACTATCTCTCGAGATTACTCTCCCAAGATAACTGTCTTTAATTTTCTCAGAAGTGTTTCTTTAAAAGGAAGTGCTTTTCGGAGCCGCTTCCGTCCGCGTCTCTCTTATTATCCGTAAGGCACGCAGAGGTCTCGCGGCCTGAGAGCCTCCTCTTCACTCGCCCGTCGTGCCGCGTTTTACGCGCGTAACGGAAGTGTCATCGGCAAACGTCACGCATCGCGTCCGGTTAAACGCCGCGATTTATCCCGCGGTCTTTTTTTTGTCTCTCGCGCCTCGGACATCGTTTTTCTTGCGGCGCGCGATATTTTTTCCCCTCTCCTCCCTTCCCCTCCTCCGCTCGCTCGCCAGTGACACACACGGACACGCACAACGTGGCGGAGATTGCTCTCCCTCTCTCTCCTCCTCCCCTGTCGCGGGAGAACGATCGAAGGTACTCCAGAATATACGAGCTATGCCGACGTAAATATTGGTCGGCCGACACGCGTGATATTTACGGTATCGGGGGAATGCGGTTCACGTAGGTCACCCGTCGCGCGTGCACCCGTCCGAGGAACAATGACCAACTTACGAGCGCGGTTGGCGTTTTCGAAATGGCGCGAATATGCGATTTTATAATTATGCATCGTGCGATGGTCGGTCCCTCTCGAAGGGAGAATTCGACGAATTTGGCGACGAGACGCTGAGCAGAGATGAATATTTACTGGAGAACAGCGCGCGACGGGGCGGATTCCTGTCTGAAAGTTTCTTATTAAAATTTTCTGTTTCTTTGATTTTTAAGCCTTCAAGAGATCAATCACAGCAACTTGGATTGATAATTGATATTGAAACACAGTCCGATTGACAGAAGTGTATTATTACATGTACCACAATGGCGATTATTATCTAACACCCGGATATTACGGAGTCAATGCAAATGTTTGCCAATTGCTGCATGATAATCGATAATGCGCTGACTGTGTTAACCTTAAGCCTATAGTAACGGTGGTTTGAAAATTTTTGTATATAAGATTCCATCCATTTTTATTGCATTCCAATAAGTATCGAGAATACTTTGAATATTATTTTAGTTTTTAACATTTTAAATAAATTTTCCAATTTCGGAAAAGGATACACTTGTCTTTTTCTGCCTCTCTCATTGTTTCCGGTTCTTATACGGTGTTATCTCTTTTTCTTTTTGGTGAAAATCTCACAGGAACGCGTAAGTAATTAAGGGCTTTTGTCATTGAAAATACAGCGTAAGTGAGGACTTTGTTGTTGGAAATAAAGTGATATTATTTGTAAAATATGCAAATGTCGATCGGTATGCGATGTTTACAATATTGAGGAATGCGGCTCTACGCGAGCGAGCGCATCGTTGTTTGAAGGCACAGAAGGGCCGAAATTACCGGCCTGGAATTCGCGGTGTAAATGTGCGGATAATGTGCGACATTGTAATGGCGTATTATGATAATTTGCTTTAAAGCAAGCCCGGTTCTCTATCGACGGAATAAAAGTATCGTAATTTTGTTCGTTGCTTCCGGGAATATCGCAGCTGTGATATCCGTAACATATCGATGTGGCGTATGATCGTGGAATTGTAAATAACTCTTTAGTCGAGTGAATTTTTAATTATGCGATCTGTTATGACGATCTATTATGACGAAATTACGATGATGCGGCATTATAACGCTCGAGAAGAAATCAATCCTGCAATAAAAAAAATACAGCTATGCCTGGCCACATTAAACGCGCAGAGAATATTTTTTTTCATAATTTATTGACTTTCAAGAATTTGATTTATGTTATGATCCATTTATCATTATTGTAATCAATATATGTAAAGAAAATTATTTTAATCAATCCAAATGATATGTATAATATCATGTGTATAAAAGATTTTTTATATCAATAATTGGCGCCAAGTTAAAAAAAAAATCTTATAAAAGTGAAGAAAATTTTTGAAAATAAAACCTAAGTAATACATATCATTGCATTAATCAGCAAGAAAATATTGGATAAATATTAAATGTAAAGTTTATAAGTTTATAGGAAACAAAATATAATTATAAAAATTGCGATAACAATTTATATAAATTTCCACTTTAAAATATAACATAAATGCAATTGTAACTACGAATTATATATGTGATATTCCGAGATGTTTCTATAAAATATTTTTGAATATTTCAATAGAATATAAATATATAGAACAAATATTTGTATTTTTCAATAGAATAAAAGATTTCATTGCAAAGAGGTAACAGTACAAAATAAAGGGTTTAACTTAAATAAAAAACTTTTATGTGAAGAAAATAGGTATAAATAGTAGATGCATTATTTGTTTTAACGAGTCGTTTAAGTCGTTCACTTAAACTCACTTGTCACTTATAATGTCGTAAACAAGTAAAATCTAAAAGGTTGCACTTAATAATGCGGCCAGGAATTGTAGATGCTTTTAGTTTGATTGTAATAAACTCAGAGTGCGTTATAGTATAAAATACCGACTCAAAAGAAAATATGAAAAAAATGTTCGTAGTAACATCACAAGACATATTATTAAACGTTGCAATTTCGTCATGAGATAAGACGATAACATTTTTATATGACAAACTTTTATATCATTACGTGACGCCCTCGCGCCAAATCGTGCACACAATTCCTATACGGCGCGTTATGTTACACTATTTTTCCGATAGTGATACCCGCGGCGTGATGCCCGTTGTATACAGAGCGCGTTTCCACGCATAAATAACAAACGGCTTTCGCCGTATCCATTAAGGAGTCAACGGCGATGTATCCGGGGGCAATATTTCCGGGGCCGTATTCGAGTCGCGGCGAGCGCGCGACGGGCACGCGCGTACGTGCGATTCCGCGCGAAAAAGGAACTCGATTCGATTCCCCGCGGACGGGTTATGGGGCCATCGCGGTACAGCGGGCCGCAATTTATTATTTTATCATTGTCCCGATGGCGCACACGGACGATCTACCGGCTCGCCGGTAACCTGTGTATGTGTGTGTATGTGTGTGTGTGTGCGTGCGCGCGCGCGCGCGTCGCGTCGGCGATACACCGTATAAATCGTACGTATCGCGCGCCGATATTCTTCGCGTCTACGTGCCCGTATTTCAAATCACCGGCTCGCCGTATCCCTCGCCGCTGCGTCGCGTCGCGTCGTCCAACCGCGCGATCGGGAAAAACAGAGCAGGGTGAGGAAAAACGTACATCGTCGAAGCTGTGTCCGCGTTTTACGATCACGGATTTCGCCCCCCCCCCTCCCCCCGTCCCGTCGATCCTCGCGCGCGCGACGCGGAATGCGGCCGCGATTTCGCTTACGTCGTTCGGGAACGCTTTGCATAATTGATCCGGCGAGCCGCGCGGCATGAATTAAGCATG